TCACTCTTTCTTCCCAGTCTGTCTTTGTCTGGAAGCTCATCTGAAACCTGTCCACCATGGGTGACCCTGCTGGTATTTTACTGGTGGCATAACTTTCAGAATCACAGCAAGTCACTAGACACCACAGTATAACGAACTGACAGACAAGTGTTACTATTTACTAGGCCCTAAAAGATTCATTTCCTCAGTTTCACTAGCCACATTTCCTAAACTCTTCCTAGTCTCTTGCACTTGTGGTCTCAGTGAGGAAAGAGGAGGGCTATTCATCTAAAGCATGCCATATCTAAGATGTGCATGTACACACATGGTCACAAATGGCAGGCAGGAAGCAGAGTAGTTAAGAACATGGACTCTAGAAGGAGACTGCGAGATGCAAATCCAAGCATTGTGACTTACTAGCTGTGTGATCTGGGGCCTCTGTGGCTGGTGGCTACTGTATTGGACAGCACAGCAACAGATATTTCCATCATTATTGCCCTAGACTGTAAGCTCCAGGAGGATAGGAAGCATATCTGTCTGGTAGCTGCTATTCTAAGTAAGCACTTTACATAGATGATTTTATTCTGCCTTCACTTCAAGTCTAACAGGCATGTAGTAGTATTTTTTCTGTATTTCTGTTGAAGAAACTGAAACACACAGGAGTTGAGTAACTCACCCCAATGAATAGTATACCTCTTTCCTCAATGAGACCACAAAGGCAAGAAACCAGGAAGAGAGAGTGTCTCCTTTCCTCTTTGCTTTATTACACTTTAGGAAAACATTTCTAGGGACCAAAAAAGGTATGGAGGGAATACAAAGATTTAGTGCCAGCCTTTCTGACCCAAGTATATACGTACCATGTGGACATGCGCTTCTAACAATAACTTAATACTTACAGGGCAATCACACAGCCCAGGCATTCTATTCAGCCAGATCGGACACATTCACACACACACCGAGCAGCTTGAGACTCATGAAGCCTCCACAAGCAAGCCTTTGTGAACTTATCCAGACTATGGGGATTGCTCTCATTAGTCAGGCTCAGCCAAGTCAGCCCTCACTATATGGTGTTTAGGTCACACATTCAAATAACTTCTAAGATCCAGGGCTAGATAATGGGGAGGCAAGACCCCAAAAAGTTCCTTCAGAAATTTTCATTATGACAGGTCTTGTTGGTTAATGCACTGGACCACAAGGTTGGTTTGAGCCACAAGGTCGGTGGTTTAAACCCACCAGATGCTCCTTGGAAACCCTCTACAGGGTTGCTACGAGTCTGAACCCACTCAGCAGCACTTGACAATAGTACATACAGGGAAAGGCGGCACAGTTGAAGGGCAATCAAGTTAGACTGGAACATTTTGGAGAACAAACTGGGAGTGACACTTGAGTCGTCTTAAAGATGAGCAGACATTAACCTAGCAAAGGAGGGGTGTAGAGGAAGAAGAACTAAATGAAGGAAACAAAGGAATATGTTCGGGAAACTGTAAGTAGTCGTAACAGGGTTGGTATGAGGAGGTTTTGAACTGGCACAGGTCAGAAATGTGGGCAGGGCTAAAATGAAAGATTCAAATCCTGCCCTGAAAAACTGTCATGAGCCTGGAAAGCCTTTAGACAATTGATGTGATGTGATCAAATCCATTTTCAGAAAGATTGATCAGTAACAGCACAGAGATTTAGTTGAGGAAACAGATTGGAAATGGAGAAATCAGGAGGAAGACTTTCAATATTCCAGGGAAGAAATGAGGAGCTTGAACTTTTAGTGACAGTGCGGATGGAAAATATATTAAGGAGAGTGGGAAGGCAGTAATGGTTCAACGGTAGAATTCTTGCCTTCCATACAGGAGTCCTAGGTTGATTCCCAGGCAATAAATCCCAAACACCTGTCAGTGGAGGCTTGCCTGTTGCTATGATTATGAACAAATTTCAGTGGAGCTTGCAGACTAAGATAAACTAGGAAGAAAGGTCCTGTAATACACTTTTCACATATCAGACCTGATTCCAGTGTGTATGAGGTCAGATCATTGTGGCAGCTAACAACAATCACAAGAAGTGGAGAGGGAAATGTGCCGTTCACTACAATAAACCCCATTGCCGTAAAGTCGAGTCCAGCTCAAAGCAGCTCCGCAGACCAGAATACAACTGCCCCACATGGTTTCCAAGGCTATAAATCTTGAGGGAAGCGGACTGCAGCATCTTTCTCCCACGGAGAGGCTGGTAGGCGGCCGAGTAAACTGGATCACCAGGCGGGTAGGCTAAACTTCCATGGGAGTGCACTCTCGTAAACACATGGTTCTTTAGCCCCTTTAGTGTGTGCAAAAGCGCATGAGCAACCTTAAGCCTTTGTGAAATCAGTAAACCCTGTATGAGGGCCTGGGGGCCTCGTTCAATTTGCATTTGAGTACTTAATCACTCTCCGCCAGGGCTCTTTATTCATTACAATGCTGTTGTTCTTAAGTACTATGGAGTCTGTTCCAACTCACTGTGCATAGGTTTCCCAGGAATGGCTGGTGGATTTGAACTGCTGACCTTGTGGTCCATTGCATTATCCTTCAGTGCCACACCAGGACTCCTACTCATTACAATTATTGTTGTTGTTGTTATTGTTATTAAGAGCTGTTGAGTCGGTTCCGATTCATAGGGACGCTGTATAGGGTTTCCGAGGAGGGGCTGCTGGGTTTGAACTGCCTACCTTGCTGTTCAAACCAACTTTGCAGTCCAGTCCATCTCCTACAGCGCCATTACAATGTTGTTGTTGTTGTTAAGTGCCGTTGAGTCTATTCCGACCCATAGAGACCCTGTATAGGGTTTCCAAGGAGCAGCTGGTGAGCTTGAACTGCTTATCTTGCAGTTCAAACGGCTTTGTAGTCTGGCGCATTAACCCACAGGGCCACACCATTACAATAGGAAACATGAAGGGCCAAAATTTAGATGAGGTGGAGGAAGGAAAACCATGATACCTTTCTGATGTTTGGAGTTTGAGGTGTACCTGGAACACCCAGGTTATATCCAATAGGCTTTTGAATATTTGTGTGTATACATTTTTTTAAATTGAAACTTTCAAGACATCTGGGCAACAGTTATCAGTGAGTGTTATCAGTTTACAGGTAGTAATTAAAACCATGAATGTGGATGAAGTCAACCTGGGAAAGTGTAGGGTCAGAAGATCTGTGAACCAAGGACAGAGTTCCAAAACGCCTCAACTGCAACCAGTTGAAACCTTGGATTTGTTAACATTCTCCGGAGACAGTGTGTAAAGTTGGAAGGGGTGAGGTAAGGGCCCTGGAAATCACCAACGTTTAGGGGAAAGGATGAAAAAAGAAGAGGTGAGCAAAGGTGTAGAAGAATTAGGTCAGGGGTGCCAGGTAAAAGAAAGTAGGCCTCCAACGTCAAATGGCTGCTTAGATCAAGACAGAAAATAGGAAACTGTAGCCATTAAGGAGTCAGTGATCAGTGCCGCCAGAATACAGAGAGTGGGTGGGGTGCGAGCTTTCTGGTTGTTGGAGTAATCTCTTCAGCCGGATTTCAATTCGCCGTAGCTGACAAGTTAGAAGCTGTGTCTCTGTAGGATAAGCACTAGACTGCTAACCACAAAGTCAGCCGTTTAAAACCCCTGACTGCCAATCACAAGTTGGGCGGTTCGAGGCCACCAACCGCTTCACAGGGAAAAAATGAGGTTTTCAGCTCCTGCAAGGATTTGCAGCTTCGGAAACCCTATACAGGGTTGCTATGAACTGGAACCGCTCTACGGCACTCAATAACAACTGAAGGAATACCAATCCCCAGGCCCTCGTACAAGGTTTGCTAATTTCAGATAGGTATACAGTTGCGCACGCGCACTTTTGCACACCAAAAAGCCAACAGAACTTTGCTTTTCCTAGAGACAGCCCGAGCAGAACCTTGGTTTACCTGCCTCCGGACCCAATTTACTCAGTTTCAGACCCCGCCCCAAGCCTGCAGGCGGCGTTGCAGCTAAGAGAGAAAGAGGAAGAAAGACAGGAAGAGAGACCCGGGGCGTAGCGCCGCTCTAGCCCACTCCTGAGCTCGGTGGTGGATGCCGCAGCTCCGCGTGTCCCACGCCTCCTCCTATCGCAGGTGGGTCAGCCCACGGTGAGCAGGAGTGTCTCCGAGCTGTGGGGCGGGCGGGTAGGTAGTGACAGTCTCCCGTGCGCGGAGAGACTCATCGCCTAAATGTTCCGGCTCCAACGGATCGAGCTATGGGCAGGGCCGTGAGGGTGGAAACACGGGTCCAAGTGAGCGCCTCCTTCTGAATGTGCACTGCCTATTTTAGGACCCCTTTACATCCTGGTGAGGGGGTTCTCCGTCTTGGCAAGGGTGCAGCTTCCGGGGGGACCGCTGGGGGCGGGCCTAGTGGGGCGGGGCTCCCATGATTGACATCTTTTCCCAGACTTCAGGAGCGACCCTTGTACCCCTCTGTCCTGAACCCTGAGCCGGGACAATGGTGAGAACCCTGAGCCCAGCCCTTCACCTCGCATGCCCACACCCTCGCCTCGCATAACTTTGCCTCAGTTTCTTTGTAAGAACTTGGGGCTCACCAGTGAGGGGGTCCATGGGTCTGCCCCTGCAAGGATAGCCAACACCCATCCCACCCATCCCTCTAGCACGGACGACTGAAGGTGAAGACATCGGAAGAGCAAGCTGAGGCCAAAAGGCTAGAGCGGGAACAGAAACTGAAGCTGTATCTGCAAGCCACGCAAGCTGTCTTCCAGAAGGTGGGGACCTCAGAGGTAGCCCCCCACAGGGGACTCCCTTGGTATAGCACAGACCAAGAGTTGAGCCCTAGAACCAAATTGCTTGGATCTGAATCAGGGTTCTATCACTAGCTATATGACATTGGAAAAGTTACTGAATCTCTCTTGGCCTTAGTTTACTCATCTGTAAAATGGGATTAATGCACCAACAACATAAGACTGTTGTGAAGATTAAATGAGAGAACACATATAAAGTCCTATGCATAATACCTGTCACATAGTATGGAACTCACAGAATATTTGGTAATTTTATTTATGTTATTTAACTCTTGGTGGGAGGATGATATGATCTCTGACCTTGTTACCTACCTCCTCAGCGCCAGGCTGGCGAGCTGGATGAGTCAGTGCTGGAATTAACAAGCCAGATTCTAGGAGCCAACCCTGACTTTGCCACCCTCTGGAATTGCCGGCGAGAGGTGATCCAGCAGCTGGAAACCCAGAAGTACGTAGAGGTTCAGGGACCCAGGAGAAACTCTCTCCCTAGCCCTGGCCCCACTGCCCCTGCCTGGGCCCAGGACTGGAGGAAGGGCATAGGCAGAGAGCATTGGGAGGTTGGGTGCAGGCTGTGGTCAAGTATTGGAGGGCCTGATTCCCCTCTCCATTGGATATAGGTCCCCAGAGGAGCTGGCTGCTCTGGTAAAGGCAGAACTGAGATTCCTGGAGAGCTGCCTGCGGGTGAACCCCAAGTCCTATGGCACGTGGCATCACCGCTGCTGGCTGCTGAGCCGCTTGCCTGAGCCCAATTGGGCCCAGGAGCTGGAGCTGTGTGCCCGTTTCCTCGAGGTCGATGAGCGGAACTGTACGTGCCTGCAAATTCTGTGTCCACACCCCTCACCTGCCCCACATCCTGGTATTGGAGCCTCAGTAAGGCCTAGAGTGGGGAGGGATCTCAGGAGGGCCCACTGAGCTGATAGCAGAAGGGATGACAGCTGAGTGCATCTCCTGTGGAGTGGGTATAGGTATTTCTGGGGGTACAGCCAGGGAGCTCCCCTGGCTCTGCTAGTGAGGTATGCTGTGCCCTACCCTACACCAGTTCACTGCTGGGACTATCGACGGTTTGTGGCTGCCCAAGCAGCTGTGCCCCCGGCAGAGGAGCTAGCCTTCACTGACAGCCTCATCACCCAAAACTTCTCCAACTACTCCTCCTGGCACTACCGCTCCTGCCTCTTGCCCCAGTTGCACCCCCAGCCAGACTCTGGACCACATGGGCGCCTCCCTGAAGATGTACTGCTCAAAGGTGAGCATGGTGAGGAGTGCTAGAGAGGGCCAGCACTGCTCCGCATCCGCCCTGCCTACCCTGGTATTTAATCAGTTGGGTTCATTGAGCATCTACTTTGTGACTGGCTCTGGAGTACATAAAACCCAGCTCCTTAACTCTAGGGAGCTCAAATGTTGATGGAGCAGATAAGACTGGAATTTGCAGCTGCTGTTTAAGGCTGGTATATAAAACAGGGCAGGAGGTATCGTAAGGAGAGGACATGCAGAGTGTGGGTATTAGGGTGGTCAGAAGCCTGCCAGGGCTCTGACCATGCCTACATGTCTCCTTGGCCCCCACAGAGCTGGAGCTGGTACAGAACGCCTTCTTCACAGACCCCAATGATCAGAGTGCTTGGTTCTATCACCGCTGGCTCCTGGGCCGAGGTGAGAAGTTAGGGAAGGGCTAAGTGTTTGAGCTTTGAAGGCATAGAACGGGATTCCAGGAGACCTGAGACTGTCTCTCCCTGCAGCTGACCCCCAGGATGCCCTGCGCTGCGTCCACGTTAGCCGGGATGAGGCCTGTCTGACTGTCTCCTTCTCTCGGCCCCTCCTAGTGAGTCCTGCAGCTTTTGCTCAGGGGCAACCTGGGGTTGTGGGTCTAGCGCCGTTGGGGCTAATGGGTCTCCCTTTGTTCCTGGCTAGGTGGGCTCTGGGATGGAGACCTTGCTGCTTATGATTGATGGGTCTCCTCTGGCTGTGGAGTGGAGGACCCCAGATGGCAGGAACCGGCCCAACCACATCTGGGTATCCCAAGATTGGTGGACCAGAAGCGGAGGGGTGGGGGGAGAGGGCTAGGGTGGGACAGTCAGAAAAGTGGTGAGGCCAGGGTATCTCCTTGACCCAGTGCTCTCAGCTCTGCAACCTGCCCACCGCCTCCCTCAATGACCAGTTGCCCCAACATACGTTTCGTGTCATTTGGACAGCAGGCGATGCTCAGAAGGAATGTGTACTGTTGAAAGGTGATACAGCCTGCAGCTTGCCCCGTCTGCAGCAGCCCCCATCCCTCACCTCTCATGAGTGTCCCCTCCTGCCCCCTGCTTTTTTCCTTAGGCCGCCAGGAGGGCTGGTACCGGGACTCAGCAACAGATGAGCAGCTGTTCAGGTGACATTAGGGAAGCACACAGACAGGGAGAGGACAGTAGACTCTGGACATTAGGCAGCTGGGGCAGGAGGCTAGGGGCTTGGGGAGATAACCTGAGACCAGACACTGGGTACTGCCGGTACCCTAGGGCTGTGGCATCACCCTGTCCCACCTTGCCTGCCCTCAGGTGTGAGCTGTCAGTGGAGAAGTCCACGGTGCTACAGTCTGAACTTGAGTCGTGTAAGGAGCTGCAGGAACTGGAACCTGAAAACAAATGTGAGGCCTCATTCCTGGAGCCCCTATTCTCCCGTGTTTCCCCTCAGGTGGTCTCTTGGGAGAGCAGGAAAGGTAAAGAAAGGTTGGGGAGTAGATTCAGGAGAAAGACCCCTTTGCCCGCTCTTTCCTCAGGGTGTCTCCTCACCATCATCCTGCTGATGCGGGCACTGGACCCCCTGCTGTACGAGAAGGAGACGCTGCAATACTTCCAGACCCTCAAGGTAAATTGGGCTTCAGGGAACAGGTAAAGGGGTCCAGTGGGCAGGGAGGAAGGCAGCTGACATGCAGATCTTGCCCACCCCACCCCTGCCAGGCGGTGGACCCGATGCGGGCTGCATACCTAGATGACCTGCGCAGCAAGTTTCTGCTGGAGAACAGCGTGCTCAAGATGGAGTATGCTGACGTGCGTGTGCTGCACCTGGCTCACAAGGTACCCACTGCCACTTAAGCCTTCCACAGGGTCCTGTCTTTCATGGCCTGGCCACCTGCTGTTCACCCTCGCCATGCTCCTGACAGCCCTTCGGTCCCCTGTGCCTTCCTGGATATTTCCTTCCCACCAAGGTTGAATTCATCATCTTCTTCCAAGCCTACTGCTCTTCCAGGCCTTGTCGTATGTAACTTTCCCCAGCATTCTTCTTGGTTTCTTCCTGCCCCAGTTTCCAATCCTGAGTCACCAAGACTTTCTCACACTGCCCCTTCTAGTGAGCTAGTTACAGGTTCATTCTTCCTGGAGTGACCCCTCACCCGTCCACCTCCTCATCTCTCAGTCTTTCCCATGCTTCTCACCCTGCAGCAGGTCCAGCATCTAAAGCCCAAATCATTTCCAGAGATTTCTGACAAGTTTTCCTTTTGTACCTTGTTGTTATGTGCCGTGGAGTCGGTTCTGACTCATAGCAACCCTGTACAGAGTTTCCGAGGCTGTAAATCTTTACGGGAGCAGAAAGCCTGATCTTTCTCCCTTGGAACAGCTGGTAGTTTCGAACTGCTGACTTTAAGGTTCTCAGCCCGATTCATAACCACTATGTTACCAGAGCTCCTTTTCGTCTTTAGTCCTTCCCAATCAGTCTTCCTAACACAACAGTTTTATCACATCACTGCCGCCCACCTCCACTTCCAGCAGGTGGATTCCCCAGACTCATAAGCCCACTCCTGTGTCTTTGTTTACCCCAGTGCCCTCCAGAACCCTCTGTAACTACCCCTTCCCAGTCCACTCCTCCTGGACATCTCTCAGCACTCACTGTCACACGTCCTTGATGTCTAGCTTCCACCTTTTCCTCACTTAGGGTCTGTGTGGGCCCCAGAGAGCAAGTTCCTAATAAGCATGGCTGAGGTCTCACCCCGCGGTCTCATTGGGTATCTTCTCTACCCTCTCCTCAGGATCTCACAGTGCTCTGCCACCTGGAGCAGCTGCTCTTGGTCACTCATCTTGACTTGTCACACAATCGTCTCCAAGTCTTGCCCCCTGCTCTGGCTGCTCTGCGCTGCCTTGAGGTAAATCACTAAAGCCTTTATTGCTGCCCTACGTAGTCCTTTCCCCCTTCCTCCACCTTCAGAAGTCTGCAAAAGAAGTCCAGAACCTCCCACTTAGCTCCACCCACTCCCACCCCTGACCCTTTGAGTCCTTCCAGGCACTGGAAGCTGATCATCCTCAGTTGCTTAGACTAGTCCTGTACTGGCCATTTCCTGCTCTGTCTGGTGTTACCCCACCTTCCTGACTCTACAGGTGCTGCAAGCCAACGATAACGCCATCGAGTCTCTGGATGGTGTCACTAACCTGCCCCGCTTACGGGAGCTCTTGCTGTGCAACAACCGTATCCTTCCTTCTTGGTCCCTTTCAGACAATGGGAGGGTGGGGTGCCACACTGATGAATGATAAACAGTAAGCAGACTGGGTGACACCCTGAGGAGGGAGGACACGGGGAGCAGGGGCTGAGGAGGACTAGCTGAGGGGCTGCATGGGCTGTCATTGACCTGCAGTGGCTGGTTCTGTAGACTGGGAATGATTTCCTGAAGCCAGAGTTCACAGACAATCGACCAATCAGGAAGTTTCTTATCTTTTTTAAAAATCTAGACTTCTGATTTGTCTCCTGAGAAGTAGAAGGTCAAGCAGCCTTTGGCCTGCATTTCCACTCGGCTGTCCTTGGCCATTACTGAGTAGTGGGTGCCTCCTTAGCCTGGGCTAGCTTTCCACTTTGCCATAGTCTCCACCGCTCCTTCATAGACCACAGCCAGGCTGCTTCACGTACTTCCTGCCTCCCTCCTGTTTTTCGCAATCACTGCCATGAACCTTACTCCCTTACAGGGAAGCCTGTGAGATACCCATCAAACAGGCTTGCAGGCCTCCATCCCCTGCCTCTTGAGGGAAAACACTGATCGGTCCATAAGAGCCATGGATGTGAGGGAGTCTACTGAGATTTCCTTGACTCTCCTTCCTGCACAAGGCCTCCAGCAGCCCACAGCACTCCAGCCACTTGCCTCCTGCTCTAAACTGGGCCTCCTCCACCTGCAGGGCAACCCCCTGTGCCAAGCAGCAGGCATCTCGGAGCAGCTGGCCGAACTGCTGCCTTTAGTGAGCAGCATCCTCACCTAAGAGGATGCCTCTCACCTTTACCCTTAACTTATTGAGACTGAATAAAGAATGAAGAGACCCCCAATTTGCTGACCAGCTGTCTCTGCCGCCGCCACCACTGCTGCCACATCTGCTGAGAAAGGAGAGGGAAAGAGACTAAGGGTGTGTCTGCGTACCTCTCTGCTCTCATTTCATGCTCTCCAGGCCCCCTGTTCCTATCATGGAGGACCACAGCCTCACTGTTAGGGCAGTTTTCAGGACTGGAACTGGCTTTGAGTCCACTCTCTGGTTTAAGTCAGGGCTGGGTCTAGGTTCCAAGTTAGGATTGAGATTGGACTTGGTTCAGATTCAGAACTAGAAAGCAACGATAAGTTTCTTCAACTGGAAAGATTCCCCTATGACTCTGTTACGGAGCCCTAGTGGCACAGTGGGTTATGCATTGGGCTGCGGTTCAAACCCACCAGCCACTCTGGGAGAAAGATGAGGCTGTTTGCATAAAGATTTGCAGTCTTGGAAAACCTATGGAATAGTTTTACTCTGTCCTATTGGAGTCCTGCTGTGGCACTGTGGGTTAATGCACCAGACTGTAAAGTCATTTGAACTGCAACGTCGGTGGTTCAAGCTCACCAGCTGCTTCTTGGAAACCCTATACAGGGTCGCTATGGGTCAGAATCAACTTGATGGCAACAAATTGACAACAACAAACCGGATCATTATGAGTTGAAATCGACTCTGACAGTGGGCAATGGGTAATGACCCTGTTCCTTGCAGGTAGCCCATGTCCTGGTTCATTCATCAAAGCTGAAAAGGCTTGGGTGTTCTGTATTCCCACAAGGAGTGGCGCTGGACTCCCTTCCTTGCTCCATTCTGTTATAACAATAGATGAGTTCGCATAAATAATGTCATTTGGTTAAAGAATTCTTTAAAAACATTTGATCCTGACAAGAAATTTGGCGTGAGATGATTTAGTCCATTGTCTTGATGAAACTGCTATTAAGACTCACCCAAAGGTACTGACCTTCAAGTGCTGGATCCAAAATCATTTCTACACCTGTCTAGGAATTCCAGCCTTATGTTCTTTCTTCTGTATGAAATGGTTGGGCCAGAGGTATGGCCTTAGCAATCTGAGGTACTACTACCATGGTGTCCCCCACTCCCTCCTTCCCCCCACCCCCAGCACGCATGTACATGTCCTATCTTGACTTTGAAAGCCCTGAGGCATCAGGGCCTCCTGAACTAGGAAAGGAGCGGCTCAGGGGTCAGGACACTGAGTCAAACCAAACTGGGTGGGGAAAGAGAAACTGCTCAAAACAAGGGTGAACGGGTGTGACAAAGGCATTCTTCTGTGCTCATGGGACACTCAAAACCTTGCTCCTTCCCATCTTCAGAGTGAGATACAACAGGCCTTCCACGAAGCTCTTGGGTTGTCTCGCCTCACACCTGCCTGGATTTGTATTTCCACTGAGGGTATTAGGTTGGAGGTAAGTTCCTGCCAGGTTCTGGGGCTTGAAACTAGACAGAAAAAGGTCAGTGTGGGTGTGGAAGACTGCCTGCCAGGTGCTGAAGCCTCTGTCCCTACTCCTGAAGGCACCTCCCTGCCTGATGCATCACCAAACTCAGCCTCTCCTAGTCTGCTGCCTTGTCACCTCTTGCCAGCCCTGTTTTCACTGTCTTCTCTTCAGTGACCTGTGATAGAGCTGGGACACCAGTGAGATAGAGGGTAAGGAGCTCCTAGCTGATGGGTCCCAGCTTTCCTGAAGAACTCCCAAGAGAACTTCCTTGACGATGCTTGCTTCTCTCTGCCTTGGGGTTCTCTCTGTGACATCTCCATATATCTCTCTCAGTGCAGGGGTGGAGTTGGGATACACATAGAGCAGGTGCCCAAAGCCGGTTGGTCAGGATTCCCAGCAAGAATTCCAGGGTGAAGAAGAAGAGGGACTCCCAACTGCAGCCTATCAAACATTCCTATGGAGGCAAGGGGGTACTCTGCAGCCTGGATAGGGGGCCTCAGTTCCCATCCAAACCCAAGAGCAAAGGTCTAAGCTGCCTTCAAGGCCCCAGGCCAGGGGGAGAAGGAAGAGATTTGCTCCTATTCTTATGACCCTCTACTCCCCCAATGTGGAGGGATATAGGTAGCACACTCATGCTGGGGGCTGTGGAGCAGATGGAGGAAGAAGGAGGGACAAGTGTGTGGGGGGTGGGGGCCACGGATCTGGTAGAGCCGGCAGATCAGGGGCTGGCTGGAGGAGCCAGTCTGCGGTCCTGGCTGCTGATGTCACAGTTGGCAACTGGGATCCATGAGCAGGATGAATCCCAGAACCAGGGTCATGGGTCAGTTTCAAAGGACTGAGGCTGGCCCAGATGCTGAGAGTTCAGTGGTTGGGTCAGCAAGAGCAAGGTGGGCAGCCTGAGTTGGGTAACAAGGTCTGCTGGACAGGGTTGTGGATGAAAGACGCTCCTTCCTGTGATGCTCAGGCATGCTTCCTGGCTCCTCACACACCATCTGACAGGAATCACCCTGGGATGAGGCTCCTCCATCTTCACCCTAGCCTCAACTCTCACAGACCCCCACTTGGCCTCCTTCCTAGCTCCTATTTCATCCACCCCTGCATCAGTTCAGTTCCTCGAAAGGGAGTCAGTCCTAGTTTCCCCACTTCCTGAGAGCCCTCAAGCCCTGGAGCTCTTTCTGGGTGTGTGTTGGAAGGAGTGGGGTTGGTTGAAGCAGCACCCGCCAAGCCAGCTTCCCCTTCCCAGCAGCTCCTCCCTCCCCCTCATAAACCATTCGACGGCCCGCCCCACCGCCTCACACCACACCTTCCATTCGCGGGCGGCATCCAACCTATCCCTCCATCCCTGTCCTGTCCCCTCAGTCCCGATCTGTTCCATCCCGGACCGGGACTCAGCGCTGCCGCCTCCAACGCTGCTACCAGGTGAGGGGTTCCTGGCCAATTGGACGCGGTCCCGTCAGGCTCCCCTACACCTAGACGCGTTGCTCCAGGACAGCGCAGGCTCCCGGTACCTGGTGCGCCCCGCCCCTACTGGCAGCCCGCTCGGGGATGAGCCGGCGGCGTGAAGATGCCAAAGACCTAGACCCCCGACGCCATTCACTTCCCTTTGCGGGGAGCCTTGGGGATCTCTAAGATATGGGCTATCTCGGATGCTTGGACTACTAGCACAAGGGACTATTTAGGGCCCTCATATACCGACCGCAGGGACACTGGAGACTCTGGCCTGCTCAACTGGGTCTTGAGGCTGTGACAAGTATTTGCGAAGGGAACTCTGAACATGTTCTGAGATAGGTTCTTGAGTGGGTTTCTCAATGAGACTACTTCTGGTTTTGGGATGTGGTTGGTGGGCATCCGTGTGACGGGAGAGGGGAATGCCCTTCTCTGCAGAGTGAGAAGCTTCTCTGGGTGAATCTGAACGGAGTCTTTGGGGAGGAGCTCTGCATGGGTCTAGATCAGATTTGCTCTCTATCTCTGCATGGGTCTAGATCAGATGTGCTCCCCATCTGGCTGAAGCTGAGTCAACACTGGATGGAGGTGGACTGAATGGGGCGTCCTGGGTGGGTTTCTTCTCTCAGTGTGTGATCCGAGCACCCTTGCCTCTCCCTCACAGGTACAGTGATGGATGATCCTCGGTCGGATGTAGATCCTTCGTCGGATGAAGGTCCTCGGTCGGATGAAGGTCCTCGGTCGGATGAAGGTCCTCGGTCTGATGTGGGTCTTCGGTCAGATGTAGGTCTTCGGTCTGATGTAGGTCCTCGGTCAGATGTAGGTCCTCGGTCGGATGTAGGTCCTCGGTCGGATGTAGGTCGCTGGGGCGCGAACTCCAGGCCCGCTGTCACCCCTTCACCAGAACCGGAACCGGAGCCAAGCAGACGTTCTAGGCGCTCTGGCGGCAACTTCTGGACGCGCTGTTGTGGCTGCTGCTCACGTCGAAATGCAGATGATGACTGGGGATCTGAGCCCTATGGCAACCGAGGCTCCAGAGGTCGAGGGTCCAGTACTGGGAATCGCAGACCTGGCTCCCGGGGGCCCCCTGTGAACGCAGCCGGAGATGGCACCATCCGAGGTAAGACCAGCTCCTACACCCTATCAGCTGAGGGGCCTTAATAGTGCCTGAGGTTTATTCTGACTTCTTTCCGGAGCTGGGAAGCTAATGAGGGACTTCACTGACCAGAGATTGGCTTTGCAGATGGCATGCTGGTGGTCACCGGTGTGAATTTGCTGAGTTCACGCTCAGACCAGAACCGCCAAGAGCACCACACGGACGAGTTCGAGTATGATGAGCTGATTGTGCGCCGTGGGCAGCCTTTCCACATAGTTCTCTTCCTGTCTCGGCCCTATGAGTCCTCTGATCATATTGCTCTGGAGTTGCTCATCGGTCAGTAGGGCCTGGAGTGGGCCAGGGCCTGGGAAAGGTGAAGGGCCCCGGATTCTGACAGAAGGGTGGAGAGTGGCTATCAGGGTTTCCTGGCATTAGGGTCAAAGAGGCATCTTTAGGCTCCTCCCTCACCCCCCTCTCCTCAAGGCTAGCTATCAGATAAGTCAGCTATGAGTGTGTGAGTGTGTCCCTAGGTGTGTGTCCCAGGAAGGATTATAGTGTCTAAATTTTTCCAAGCTTGGCTTCATCAAGCCACCTGCCTCAAAGTATTTCCCCTTCACCTGCCTGCCTCCAGATCTACTTCTGCTTTACTCTATATGTTGTTCTTTCTAGGTTGGCTCTCTTTCCCAAAGGTGTGGCTGGTCCCCTCTCTCTTTTCGCTGGTCAACTCTGCCTGTCTCTATCTTTCTGTCCCCATGGCCCAGGGCAGGTGCCTCCCTCACTACGTTCCTTGGTGGCCGTTGTCTACCCAGGCTGGTGATTATACCATTGCCGGGGGTGGAAGACTCATCATACCCTTTGATTAGGGCCTAACCTTGCCCACCCCAGCCTTTAATTTCGCAGATACCCCCAGCACCTTCACCAGGGTTGCCTTTGGCTCTGGAGGCTGCAGTCTTACAGAGTAGGGAGGGCTGGCCATCAACATCCAGTCTGCCCTTTCATTCTGATGAGGAGAACTGAACCCAGCCAGGTGGTTTTGCTCCTCCCGCCTAGGCACTGGGACAGTCAGGCAGGCAGGAGGGTGACAGTGGCCCTGATAACTCTCCTCCCTACCTCTGAGCTCAGTTTCAAGGGGAACAGGTTTGGGACGTTGGACTAGAGCCCTGCCCCAACATGCGGGCAAGCATCGGGTGGGGACAAAGCTCACAGAAATTGTCACAGACTAAAATAATGACAACTCAGGGCCACACACACTGGCTCATATACACGCTGGGTGGGGCTGGGAGAAGTCCAAGACTTCATCCCCTCTCTTCTGGGAAGGCTCACCAACTAATTGCTACTTCTCCCACTCTAGGCAACAACCCCGAGGTGGGCAAGGGCACTCACGTGATCATCCCCGTGGGTAAGGGGAACAACAGAGGCTGGAAGGCCCAGGTGATCAAGGCCAGTGGGCAGGATCTGGACCTGCGGGTCCACACATCCCCCAACTCCATCATCGGCAAGTTTCAATTCACGGTCCGCACACACTCAGATGCCGGAGAGTTCCAATTGCCCTTTGATCCCCACAATGAGATCTACATCCTCTTCAACCCCTGGTGTCCAGGTGAGCCTGACAGAGTAAAAGCAGGGGTAGGCAAAAGGACATCCTTCTCCAGGATCAGACTGGAACCTGGATGCCTGGCCTAGAACAAACCACCCTCCCCATGTCCAAGTGAGGAGACTAGTTTCAGTGTAAAATGGAGACAAGCCCAAGGTCACAGAACTTCACCTCTCCTGGTAAAGGGCCCTGGTTATGACCACCTTCCATTCCTCCAGAGAGCAGTCCTGTCTGGCTAGGGGCTTCCCTCCTCTCTCTCTTGGTGGACTTGAGTCCTATAGAACTGGCCTGGGGGCAGTTGGGGCCCAGGGAGAGAGCTGAAGGGAGCCAGACATGTGTGTTCTGGGGATACAGATGACATCGTGTTTGTGGACCATGAGGACTGGCGGCAGGAGTATGTGCTTAATGAGTCTGGGAGAATTTATTATGGGACTGAAGCACAGATTGGTGAGCGCACCTGGAACTATGGCCAGGTATGGCCCGCTGCATATGGGAGTGCTAGAGGCAGGGGTGGGGTTGGAACGGGGGCAAGAGAGTGGGATGCTGGCTTGGGATTTGAACTTGGCGACACGTGGGCCATAGTCTCCCATGCTGTCTCCCAACTCAGTTTGACCACGGAGTACTAGATGCCTGTCTATACATCCTGGACCGACGGGGAATGCCATATGGGGGCAGAGGCGACCCAGTCAGTGTCTCCCGGGTTATCTCTGCCATGGTGAGCAAATCCCCAGTCCTGCCCCTGCCCTTGCAAAGGACATCATGGGAAGGTGTCTCATCCCTCTCTTTCTTCTTTTGCCTGCCCCCCTTCCACACATATATACACTTCCTCACTTCTTTCCAACTCCTGCAGAATGGAGGGCCAAACCCCACACTTGGCACAGCACACAATCACATTCCTGTGTCAGGCCAGGGGTGGGAAGAGGGGGACAGGTGGTTCAGTGGAGGGTGGGTGAGGCTCTGGTTGACATATAGCTCCTGAGGCATTTAGGAGTGAGGGTTGACACATGGTCAGAGACTAGAGGTTACATGACTGCCCTAATCTTAGTTCCTCAACTCGGCCCTCCTCTCCTGGGCAGGTTAACTCCCTGGATGACAATGGAGTCCTGATTGGGAACTGGTCTGGTGATTACTCCCGAGGCACCAACCCATCAGCATGGGTGGGCAGTGTGGAGATCCTACTCAGCTACCTACGCACTGGCTATTCCGTCCCCTATGGCCAGTGCTGGGTCTTTGCTGGCGTGACCACCACAGGTAGTGAAGGGACCAGGAAGGGAGGGAGGCTCCACTTTTGCCCAGCCCAGTACAGCTGTGGCTACAGTGCTGGGCACCAGCGGGGGAGTGAATGTAGGCTGCTCTTAATTATCATTAATTAGTGTTAACAACCTGGAGAGGCCTCAGGGAGAGGAGGGAGAAGGGACCCGCAGGAACTGATGGAAGCAGGAGGCCTGGTTTTCCCTAACCCCAATACTCCCTGACCCAGAAGACCTCCTAACCCTGATGACTCCTGACCCTGGTGGGCCAAGTCCAGATTAGCAATGCCAGTTGTCCTTTGTTCCTAATATTCTTAACCGAATGTCTGCCCTGCCCCCCACACTGCTGCCCTGTCCCTGGTCTTGACCCCTGACCCTGGATCTCTGCAGTGCTGCGCTGCCTGGGCCTGGCCACTCGGACTGTCACCAACTTCAACTCTGCACACGACACAGACACATCTCTCACCATGGACATCTACTTTGATGAGAACATGAAACCACTCGAGCACTTGAACCATGATTCTGTCTGGTGAGGCTAGTCTGGGGCTGGGCCATCCATGCCTGTGAGGGTGGGTGACTCGAGGGCCAGTGGTGAGCGACGGGCAGGGCAGTCTTAGGATGCTCAGAGACAGCCTTCCCTCGATATCCATTCCAGGAACTTTCACGTGTGGAATGACTGCTGGATGAAGAGGCCCGATTTGCCCTCAGGCTTTGATGGATGGCAAGTGGTGGATGCTACACCCCAGGAGACCAGTAGTGGTGAGGCCTGGCCCCTCTCCCTCCCCCATCTGGCAGCACACTCCTGAGAGTCAGCACTGAACTGGCCTTAGTGCCATGGCCTTTAAACCCCATATGGTTCCCACCTACCCAGCAACACTCACTAAGGAAGAAAGGTCTGGCAATCTGCTTCCCAAAAGATTGTCGTTGTTGTTGTTAAGTGCCGTCAAGTCAGTTCTGACTCATAGCGACCCTGTATAGGGTTTCCCAGGAGCAGTTGCAATCCTAACCAACCTTTCAGTCCAGTGCATTATCCTCTAGTGCCACACCAAGACTCCTCCAAAAAGATTACCGCCAAGAAAACCCTATGGAGCAGTCCTAGTCTTGATACGTGGGGCACCGTGAGTCAGAATTGACTCCATGGCAACAAGTTTGTTTCTTTGTGTTTTGTTTTTTTGGTTTGGTTCCTAAAATGGGCTTACCAAATGAATCACCTGTATGGACTTTAGTTTATTTTCACCTTTCTATGTAACTATCCAGACTCTTGGTGTGGCACTGCAGAATCAGCAGTGGACTGCAAACCACAGGGTCGACAGTTCAAACCTACCAGCAGCTCCTTGAAAACCCTATACAGGGTCCTTTGTGAGTCAGAACTGGTTCATTGACACTGGTCAACAACAATGTGACTATCAAGGGGCCCTGATGGCACAGTGGGTTACTTGTTGGACTGGTAACTAGAAGGTTTATGTAACTATTTGCTCCAGTTTTATTAATAATGGTTAATTCACACAGATGGCTCTAAATTCAAAAGATTCAAAATTATGTGAATGATTTCCCTCCCCCACAAATCCACTATCTTTACTAGCTTATTTACTTATATATCCTGGAGATAACTAATTAAAGGATATTTTGCTTACATATATTTTTCAAAGTTAAAATAGCCACTATACATGCATGGCAGAAAAGAAAGTCTAGAACAGAATAACAGAAAATGTAAAGGTTCCATGTTATTGTCAGGAGATTTTATATTTCTTTGCTCTGTTTTGGCTTTAAAGTACATTCCTAGGTCCCACCCAGACCTTTGCATCAGGTTTTCCTGGGGCAGATTCTAGGAATTTACATTTCAGAAAGTTCTCTTGTTGGTCTTTGGAAGATCAGCCAGGTTTGAGGACCATTCCAGACCTTTTGTGGGGTAGATACATGGGAAATGGAGCCCTGGAAAGGTGATGTGACTTTCTCTGGAGCCCAAATCAGTAGGCCAGCCACAGAGCTAATCCAGTTTCCTGATCATCAGGCTTTTCCACACTGACTCTCGCTTTCACCAAGTTTTTCTCCTGTCTGTCCATTGCTCACACTGAGTTATATGTGCAGGGTAGCAAAATCACAGGCTTGGGTTCAAAGAAGAAAATCGTCCCTATAACTCAGTCCTAAGATATAATTACTGTTGACATAACCTACCAGTCTCTTTTCTGGATCCACGTAGACATGTTTCTGAAAAAACCTGTACACAGTGTCCTCAGACAGGTCATTCACCCCTTCCTACCTTGACACTTCAGCCCAGGCAACCCAGCCCGGTGCTACCACCATTCCAGATCTCTCCTCGCCCTGGGTCACCTCTCCCTCACCTAGCCTGCATTCCTCCTCTGGTCTCAAACCAATCTCCTCCCTCTCAGTCACCTGTGCAACAGTGCCCCCTAAGTTCTGCAGCCCACCAAAGTCTGCTGTGTTGGAACAGCCAGCCTGGCTCAAGACACTGGAGATCTGAGCTCTAGTCCCTACCCTGAGGAAGTAGGAGGTGAGCCATGGGCAGAAGACAGGGGGATCTAGCACTAGCCAGACAGGGGCTTGATTCCATCTTGGTCACTTAGACACATGATCTTGGATCAGTACTTTGCATCCCTGGACTTTGGTGTCCTTATATGTAATATGGAGTTAATATGTATCTTATGGAGTTTGATATATGTGGCAAACAGTTAAGCGCTTGACTGCTAATCAAGAAGTTGGCAATTTGAACCCACCCACCCAGAGATGCCTCGGAGACAGGCCAGTTGGTATGCTTCTGAAAGGTCATAGCCTTCAAAACCCTGTGTAATAATAGTTTTACCATGAACATGTGGAGTTGCTATGAGTTGGAACTGAGTCAGCAACTAATAACAATATTTCATGTGGAATAGTTGGGAGGATGAAGTGAGAAATCATACAGTTGAAAGCCCAGCATCATGCCTGCAACATAGTAGTTCTTTAGTAAATGTTAGCTAGTGCCTTCCAAGGTCTCTGTATCAATTTTATGACAGATCCTGACATCTCCTTCACCTCTCTGAGCCTCAGTTTTTTTTCATCTGTAAAAAGAACATAGATAGCACTAGGTGATGGCTAAGAGGTTTTCCCATTGGATGGTCCTCACTTTTTATTCCATTTCCTCTCCTGCCAAACCCATCCTCCCTGACAGCCCATGTCCTCTAGAAAGCCCTCCTGAGTACAATAAGAAAAGATGCTATTTCCCACCCTCGCCCCTCTCACCTGCCAGTAGAGAAGACACCACTGGTTGCAGAGTGAGATGCTGTCCGGGATCTTTCTGGAATGGTGGTGTTGGTGTCAGTAGTCTCCCAGCCAGCAAGCAGAGCCCTAGTGGGCTTGGGGTTGCTCTTGAGAGGTTGGGGGCCTTTATTCTCTTGGGGCCACAGACAGTGGACATCCAGTCCTCACCTGTCGAGGAAAATTGTGTGGCAATGACTTGGTTATCAAGGCAAGCTTGTCCCTCAGCTTGGCAGGCAGTCCTCTCGACGGTCACACGTTTGCATCCACCCCAGTCCCAGCAGAGCTGTCTGGGCTGAGGAGAACTGACTGAGAGCCAAGAGGAGCTGTTCTCTTCTTGGTTTTCCCTCCCTGGATTGTAGTGGGTGGCAGCGGACCCTGAGTGATTGGGTGACAGTTGTTGGCCTTGTTCCAGAGGTTAATAGGTACTAGGCACTATGCCTGTGGAGTGGGGCTGGGTTCCCATGTGGGTCTCAGCCCAGGACCTGAGTGTCTCTCTTGGCCTCCATGGACCCCTCACCTCTGCCCTGCCCACACTCCCCTAGGCATCTTCTGCTGTGGACCCTGCTCCGTGCAGTCCATCAAGAATGGCCTGGTCTACATGAAGTATGACACACCCTTCATTTTTGCTGAGGTGAGAGCTGTGCCCAGGTGCTTTCTTAGTCCATCTGGATCCTGATCTGACTTCTCCGCTGACTGACTAGCAGAGCGACCGTGGCAAAGTCCCTCATCCTACAAGTCTTAGTTTCCTCCACTGTAAAAGGGGATAATAATGGCTGCCTTGCTTCCTATACTCAGGATCAAAAGACATAATGGGTATGAAACTACTTTATAAGTCATAAAGCCAGTGAACGAGCATAAGGAATTACTGTTATTAATACCAAAATGCACTGTGTGGAATCTCCCAGCTTCTTCCCTGCTCCTCCTGGCATCTCTGGCTCAACTTGAAAAATCCCCATCACCCCCCACCACCTCCCACCCCCACCCCCATTGGACTTCACTAGGAAGCTCCCAGTCTTGTGACCCAGGCCTGCCCTACAGCTCCAGGGATCCGGGGAAGGCCTGTCCCCAGATTCTCCAGGTCACTTCTTGCTGGCTCATACCTTGCTGCTGGTGCCCCGCAGGTGAACAGTGACAAGGTATATTGGCAACGGCAGGATGATGGCAGCTTCAAGATCGTGTATGTGGAGGAGAAGGCCATTGGCACGCTCATCGTCACAAAAGCCACTGGCTCCAACATGCGGGAGGATATCACTCCCCTCTATAAGCATCCTGAAGGTACTGCTTCCCCACCCTGACCATCCCAGGGCCCTGAGCCACATACTTTCTCATATCACTCCCTCAGAGCACCAGCCCACCCCCAATGGTCACCCTAACCTTCAACCCCCAGGTTCAGAGGCAGAGCGGAAGGCAGTGGAGACAGCAGCTGCTCATGGCAGCAAACCCAACGTATATGCCACGAGAGACTCAGCTGAGGATGTGGCCATGCAAGTGGAGGCCCAGGACGCGGTGACAGGGCAGAATCTGACAGTCTTTGTGGTGCTGAGCAATCGCGGTAGCAGCCGCCGCACCGTGAAGCTGCATCTCTACCTCTCAGTCACCTTCTACACAGGCGTCAGTGGGCCTGTCTTCAAGGAGAGCAAGAAGGAGGTGGTGCTGGCACCAGGGGCTTGTAAGTGCTCTTTCCCCAGCCCCATCCCAGGATGGCCAGTACCCCTCAACTATGGACATCGAGACCCCAGGAGCAGTGGGAAGCAGCCTGGGGAGACCACATCTGGGGAAGCAGGCTAGAGTGATGCTATGTCTTTTCCCCAGCGGAACGTGTGGTCATGCCTGTGGCCTACCAGGAATACCGGCCCCATCTTGTGGACCAGGGCGCCATGCTGCTCAATGTCTCAGGCCACGTCAAGGAGAGCGGGCAGGTGCTGGCCAAGCAGCATACATTCCGTCTGCGTACCCCGGACCTCTCCCTCACGGTGAGTACAGCTTGCTGGAACTTGAAGGGTGGTCAGAGAGCACTGGTCAGTGGCCAAGGGGAAGAAGAGACAATGCAAAGAGGGTACTAAGCCAAGAGTAGGCTGGCAAGATGAGCAGTTCCAGGCAAGAAAGGTCAGGGTCTGCCTCTGGACTTCCAGTTTCCTTACCTGTAAAATGGGATCTCATATCCCGGATAACTTGGATGGTAGCCTTGTTTGGAGAATGAGTTGGAGTTTCCTCTCTGGGTTTCAGTGAGCTGAGGCTTCTCTGAGGGGTAGAAATGGGGGCTCAGGAGAAGGGTTTGGTTCTAAGGAGTTTCTTTGGTGTTAGTATGATTGCCAGGTATTTGGTGAGGGTCTCTGATGTGGGGGGTGAACCTCTTTTTCTCTCAGTTATTGGGAGCAGCAGTGGTTGGCCAGGAGTGCGAAGTACAGATTGTCTTTAAGAACCCCCTGCCTGTCACCCTCACCAACGTCGTTTTCCGGCTTGAGGGCTCTGGATTACAGAGACCCAAGATCCTCAATGTCGGGTAAGTTGGGCCCCTCTTACGCATGCCTCTTGGTAGAACTTTGTTTGCTCTCTTGGTCAGAACAGCTCTGTTCTGTCAGGGACCAACAAGACAACTTGGAGACAGTGTTTTAGTAATGTGCAGTGTTTGGTTCTTGCTCTGCCTCACCATGTAGTGAGGGATCAGAATCCTTACATAGGAATCTATCTAAAGACTCTTAACTGTTACTTAGCATGGAAAGTTGATAAGGCATGTCAGGAACATTAACTTATTTGGAGATCCCAAAACCTTCTAGAGTGCATTAGAGATCTTCATGTGATTATTAGTAAAGCTTTGGAACCAAAAAGACATGAGTTTTAAATCCCAGCCCCTTTCTGCTTAGCTGTGTGCCCTTAAGCAAGTGATTTGTCTTTTCTAAGTCTCAGTTTTCTCAACTGTAAAATGAGGGTAATGAAAGTACCTGCCTCCTAGGGTTGTTGTTAGAATCAGATGGGTTGAGACATGTTAAAACATCCAACAATTCGGCTTAGTGCTTGGGACAAAGTAAGTGCTCACTTGGTAGGCGTTGTTTTTACTTACTGCCATCACACGCCCACTTTACAGATGGGGGGCTGGGGGCCAGTGTCTCAGTGGGTCTTCCCACAGCAGCATACACCATGCACAGGTACTCAAGTCCCTGACCTGGTCTGTGCCCTGAGGACCAAGTGGTAGTTCCAGAGCACAGGGCTCCACGCCTCATCCTTCACCCGGCCTGCCTAGGTCTGACTCCGACTGGGTGGAAGGGCATAGACAGCAGTTGTCATCTCGGACACAAACTCCTATGTGCCACTATGTACCTTCCCAAGGAAAACACAAAGGGAAAGAAGAGAAGACCAGGGGCTGACCTTTCAAGTCAGCTTCCCAAGGGAAAGAGTAAGCATTTTCCTCTTTGGGCAGGGAAAGCTCTGACTTATGGAAAGAGGAGTGGGGAGGAGAAGCAGAAGGCTCCTGACCACCTGCCTATCCCCTGCCACAGCAGGCTTTGCCTGGAGTAGCCTCCTCTTTGACAGTGAGTCTGTGAGGATTGTTATTCTGGTTCTTTGCCCCCCAGCCTGAGTCCTTGAAGAGGATCTGAAATACCAGGCTACCTTACAAGGGTCTCAGAGAATGACAGTGAGACTCCCAGGTAGTCTGTCTTACTGACCTTGCGCTAAAGTCATTTTTCAGTCTCCATTATAATGGAGGGCCCTTCTCTCTGCCCCATTCTCACCGACCCCCACCAGGCCTCTGCTTGCAAGTCAGGAAAGGACCACTGTGCTAAGTGTTGAGAGCTGGCCCCTCTCCCTAGCTGTGGGCTGGTGTGAGCCTCCCCCCATTTGCTGGCCATAAATGTGAGTTGGATGAGAGTTTCTCCAGGCAGGGCCTGCTTGAATGTTCGGTGGTGCCCAGATTGCTGTGAGCCAGGGCCAGAGTGTCCAGGACAGCTTATCGCCTCATGAGGGACATCCCTGAGCTGTTGGTTGAGATTTGTTGGATTCCAAGATGGGTGATACTTTGACTCTCCTTTGCACATCAAAGGCTGTGGTATGGAACTCCATTATACCACAAGATGTGCCACCCAAGCATGGTGACTGGCCACTTAATAAACATTCCAGAACGTACTCCTCCAGAAGACTGTTGTCACCACCAAAGCAGCCACCATGGGAAATTGGAAAATCTGTTCCAAACCCTCCTAGGGAATTTCTCCCAGGGTCTGAATCATACTCTTTAGAATGTCCTAAGAGTCCAGTCTCCTTCCTTAAGGGGTGATTTGCCTTTGGGAAAACAGCCTGGAGTCATTTCCAGCTAAGACTAATTAAGGTAAGTGAGCACGTTGGGTAACATGCCCTTTACCAGCAAAAATTGAGGCATGACTGTAAAAAAGAAACAGGCTGTTTGGTCTGTGTGTGTGACAATGTGTGCATTTGAACATGAGTGTGTGGTTTCAATTGACTCCAAAGAAAAATCCAAGAGGAGTTTTGTGGGTGTTTGTTTTTTTTTCTAATGTTTCAAACATCAGCAACATAGGCAGAACAAGTGCCTGATTAAAGGCCTGTGTCCAATTGGATGTCTAAATTCTGATGCCCTTGCCTGAGAATTGGTTTCATCACCTACGCTCAGTTAAAAACAGGCTCCAGCTTAGAACAGCTGATTTGTACTCAGCTTAAACTCACAAACAGGCGTGGCAAAGGCCTCACCTGACATTAAAACAAAGGCAGGGAGAGATCTGACATTTTCAATTGGAACTTGGAAAGCAGTTTCTCTTAGAAATGATGTTATATTTAAACAATGATACAAATAAACAGGAGTCCTGGTGTGACGCTGTGGGTTAATACGCTAGACTGCAAGATCGGTTTGAACCACAAGGTCGGCAGTTCAAGCTCAGCAGCGTTCACCGGAAACCCTATACAGACTTGTTATGAGTCAGCACTGACTCAACAGCAGTTGACAGCAACAACATAAATAAATAAACCTTTGATGTTGATGTTGTTAGTTGCTGTCAAGTCTGTTCCATCTCACGGCAACCTCATGTGTGCAGAGTAGAATTAGTCCATAGCCTTTTGAAGGTTATGACCCTTTAGAAGCAGATCACCAGGTCTGTCTCCTGAAGTGCCTCTGGGTGGGTTCGAACCAACAACCTTTCAATTAGTAGTTGAGCACTTAATTGTTTGAGCCACCCAGAAACTCCATAAAATATTGTAGTTCAATTATATGGATTCAATAAACTTTCAAAGGCTGACCTGATCCTATACAACCTTAAGCATTGTTGCTATGGAAACGTGGGCACCAATTTAAAACACAGATTTATAAGCAGTCAGAAAATAATATATTTGTTATTGTCTTAATTGATAGGCTTTCCATTATGATATATTATATTTTAGAACAACAGGTTCTCTTCTTCTCTCCTTCATCCCACCCTCTCATTTTACATTCATTTCCATTTTATGGGCTAGAAAGTGAGAACCAGAGTAGTTAAGTAACTTCTCCTAAAGGGCATAGTGGAAGGAATACAGAGTAGTCCAGGAAAGCAAGCTCTAAGCTAGATAGGAGAGCTGGTCCCTGGAGTTAGGGATGTCACTCATTCCCTTGGAGAACTGTGGTATCTGCCTGGATCTGTTAACAGTGAGGGTCCCCAAGGTAGGTTTGGGTCAAGTGGCTGAAGGTAACATATTCGAACCAGTAAGAGTTTTTGTGATACAAACACATTCGTTTTCAGTATCTAAAGTGTACATGCAGTTTGCTGGAGGAATCCAGAAAAGGATGAGATTCATTTTCCTGAGAGTGGGGTTGCTCAGGGAACCTTCACTGAGGAGCAGATAGTGACAGTGTACTTCTCAGGGCAGCCTGTGGTAGTGTGAGTGTACTGGGGTTCATTCCATGCAAGACAGACTGTAAGGAGTGAAGATGGTAAGCCAGGGAAAGGGGAAGCTGTTCAGTGAGGCTGAAGGCAAGAGGAATGATGGGGGTGATGAAGCTGCCTGGGTAGCAGGGCTGAGTCAGAGTGAGCCTGTGTGTCAGATGAGGCTTTATCTCACATGTATCCAGGAAGCCAAGCCCTTGAAGGATTTAGTTCACCCCTGGGGGGTTAGGAGAACAGACTGGAAAAATGAAATGGGAGGTAAGAAAGCCAAGTAAAGGCTGGAGAAATTGTTATTCCCAAAGGAGTGGTTTATGGAATCGATTTTTCAGAGGTCCACAAAAAAGGGGTGCTGGTGGAATAATGGCACTGTAGTATGTACGTGGGTGTAGGTGTGTATATATCTGAGTCTCTCTCTGTCTCTCTCTCACACACACTATCAAAATTGACAACTGTCTGTTCTGGGAAAGGATTTCTTTTCTTTTTTTCTGAGACTATATCCTTCCAATATATTGGTGCACTAAATGCTATCTCTTTAAATGCCATTGGAGTCAGTTCTGACTCATAGCCACCCTGTATAGGGTTTCCAAGGAGCCACTGGTACGTTTTTACCTGCCAACTTTGTAGTTCAAACTGACATTGCAGTTTAGTGCTTTATTCTACAGTGCCACACCAGGATTCCTGATGATGTAGTAGTTGATAATTAATTTTCTTAAACTTATTTTCTTGTAAAAAAATCAAAAGGATTTAGCAATACTGTTGGGCCCCAAAGTCTTGTTTTGAAATTTTCTTTGTTTTAGCAAGCCCCAGGTGAAGCCAGGAGACTCTGGTTGGTCAGGAGTAAGGTGTAGAAGGGGGTGTCTCTCAGGTGGTGCCCACAGTCCTTGTGCAAGTGGGAATGAGAGCAAGGAGGGAGGATCCCAGATGATGAGATTTCCAGTTCAGGCGGCTGGGTGGGTGGCTGGCTGCTGATCTGGCTCTGCGGAGGCTGCCCTGGGCTCAGTCTTTTTCCTGGTTGTGGGTGGAAAGTGCAACTAAGCCAAGAAATGCCTGTGGGACTCTACCTCTGCTCCCTCCTTTCTGGCTGCCAAGAATCCCTTCTTACATCCCTACTTCAGTCACTGCAAACCCATGACCTTCTCTCTGCCCTCAGGAACATCGGGGGCAATGAGACAGTGACACTGCGCCAGACGTTTGTTCCTGTACGGCCAGGTCCCCGCCAGCTCATCGCCAGCTTGGACAGCCCACAGCTCTCCCAGGTGCATGGTGTCATCCAGGTGGACGTGGCCCCTGCCTCCTGAGGCAGGAGCTTCTCAGACGCTGGCGGCAACAATCATTCAGAGGAAACCATTCCTGTGGCATCTTGAGGTGGGGCTTAGCCCTGGGCCAGGAGCAATGGGACTGGAATCAGATGAGCAAGGACACTGCCCCAAAGCAGGGGCCCCCACAGAGTGGTTCCACAAGGGCTCAGTTGGGGTGGGGGCCCTGGTCCCTGGGGAGGAAGCGATCTTTACTTGCAGTTAGTGGCACAGATGCTAATAAACTGTTTTTTAATGAAGCCTCTCTTCTGTCCATCTGTCAGTCCAGGTGAGGCCAAGGAATGTGAGCTCGTGATCTGTCCTAGAGATGGACAGGACCTTTCTGTCACCCCTGGCATGGCTGGCAGGCTCAGGTGGTGCTGACATAGTACAGCTTCCAATATTTAATGTAAAATCTTATGAAATAATCTTAAATTATTAACACATTTTATTATTACTATGATTGTTGTTGTTATGTGCCGTGGAGTCGGTTCCGACTCATAGTGACCCTGTACAGGGTTTCCGAGGCTGTAAATCTTTACAGGAGCAGAAAGCCTCATCTTTCTCCCGTGGAACAGCTGGTAGTTTTGAACTGCTGACCTTGTGGTTCACAGCCTGATTTGTAACTACTACGCTACCAGAACAGTAGTTAATTTTAAAGTTCAACCTCATTAACAGATCAATAGCTTCTCAGTGCTGTAATCTGCCATCCTTCACCCTTGTTGTTGTTAAGTGCTGTTGACCCATAGCGACCCATAGTGACCTTTTTTACTTTGTCAGCACTCCCACCCCAGGGTGCTGCTATTGACCAAAGCCCTCTTGAAGCCCCCCCTAGGGTAGACAGAATGCTCCCTTTCCATGGCAGCCACCATGGGAGAGAAGAACTTAAATTCCCCTTTGTGGGTGCATGTTCAAGGCAGAAATAAGCTGGCGTACTCTGTGAACAGCAAAAGCCACCTTTCACTATTTTTAAATGCTCTTGTCTAGGTTGTTGTTGTTGTTTAATAAAGGTAATGCATCTTCAATGTGGAAAATATAGACAATTGCAAAGAAAATAAAAATAACCTTCTACCACCACATTTAGAGAAGGTAACTATAACTATTAACATTGTGTTTCATGTTGCTTCCCTGCTCCCCCACTTAACCTAGAGTGAGCGTTTTCCTACATTAAATAGTCTTTGAAACCATGATTTTTAATGACTGGATCATAGTCTTGGCTTTCTGGCCACCTTTCCCTTGTTCTCCTTAGATCCTATCCTTCTCAGTCTCCTAGGCTGGTACCTCCTTCCTCCAATGCCAACTTCAGAGTGCTGAGTGCCATGGGTCACTCACTTTCTTATCCAGCTTCACTCTAATATCTATTCCCAAGGGGTTTCATTTTTGTTTTTAATTTTTTATTGTGAATTGAGTGAAGGCTTAAAGTGCAGATCTTCTGTTTTACATCCAGCAAATCATTATGAATTTGGTTTCATCTCAATTGCAATCCCCTCAATGAAACATCACTTATCCCACTTCCTCCCTGGATTTCTGGTTTCCGTTGCCCCTTCTTTTTCCACCCTTCTGAATTTTTTCCTTAGGAAAATGCTGCTCTTTGATCTCAAATGGTTGACCATTCTGTGGTGTGCATGCCTCACTAGCGTTGTTGTCCTCCCTATGTAACCATCTATTACTTGGCTAAAAACTGAGCCATGGGGATGAGTTTGGTTCCATACCTAAAGAATGAGTAAAGGCCATAATCTTGGGATTTCATTGGTCTCTATCTGACCAGTACACTTGGTCTCTTTTGTGATTTTGAGTTTTGTTACACATATTCTCCCACTCTATGTAGGCCCTTCTAATGTGATCCCTTTCAGAGTAATTGGTCGTGGTAGGAGTCCTGGTATGGCACGCAGGATAATGCAGTGGACCACAAGGTCTGATTGAAAGGCAGTTCAAACTCACCAGCCACTCCTCAGAAACCCTATACAGCAGGGATGGGGAACCTTTTTTCTGCCAAAACTTATAACATCATTTGCAGGCCATACAAAATTATCAACTTAAAAATTAGCCTTCTGTATTTGATCAAACATTTAATTAACTCACCCCTAAAGTGATGGCTAGAACTGTGGTTGTCTGGGCATGGCCAGACCAAATGATTTCATGGGCCTTAGACAGCACATGAGGAGCTCTGGTAGAGTAGTGGTTACGAATTGGGCTGCTAGCCTCAAGGTTGGCAATTTGAAACTACCAGCCATTCCGCGGTAGAAAGATGAGGCTTTCTGCTCCTGTAAAGATTTACAGCCTCGGAAACGCTGTGCAGGGTCACTATGAGTCGAACTGACTTCACAGTACTTAACAACAACAACAACATATGGCCCACGGGCTGGACATTCCCCACCTCTGCTATACAGGGTCACTATGAGTTGGAACTGACTTGCTAGCACTTAACAACAACAACAAAAGCTGGGCACCATCTAGTTCTTCTGGTCTCAGTGTCATGGAAACTAATGTTCACCTGGTCCATTGGACTCACTCTTTCCTAACATACCAGTTTTCCAGACATGAAACACCTTACATGACTGCTCATGATCTCAGTTTTAGGATCTTAATTGCTACTCACCAAAGTAGGATGTAGAACATTGTCTTTGCACACTATGTTATGCCAGTAGTCTCAAGGGTTTTAAGGACCACAGACTCCCAATATTAATTATGTATCTAAAACAAAACAAAAACCAGTTTCTGTCAAGTCGTTCTAACTCATGGTAACCCCATGTGTGTCAGAGTATAACTGTGTCCATAGGATTTTCAATGGCTGGTTTTTCAGAAGATCCCCAGTCCTTTCTCCCAAGATATCTCTAGGTAGATTCCAACTGCCAACCTTTCTGTTAGCGTTCAAGCACTTAACTGTTTGTGTCATCAGACTTGCTTTTTTCTTGCACTTCTTAACATCGATCTCTACTGGATGTGTAATGGTGGTGGTGGTGGTTCTGTGCCGTGGAGTCAGTTCCGACTCATAGCGACCCTGTACAGGGAGGGTTTTTGAGACTGTAAATCTTTATGGGAGCAGAAAGTCTCATCTGTCTCCCATGGAGCAGCTGGTAGTTTTGAACTGCTTACCTTGCGGTTCGTAGCCCGATTCGTAACCACTATGCTACCAGAGCACCTTGGATGTCTATTAGACACTCTAATTTCAGTGCAGCATGTCCAAAATCCAACTCCCCATCTCCTGGCAACATATCCTCCTGCAGCCTCCCTCATCTCAGTAAATAGCAACTCCATCTTTCTAGTTGTATGGGCCCCAAATCCAGGAGTCATCCTTGGGTTCGCTCATATCCAATATCCCATCTGCCAGCAAATCTTGTAGCTTCTTTCTTCTATATATATGTATACAGAATCTGACCATCTACCTACATTGCCTCATCTCAAACCACCTGCCAGAGGTGCTGCCATTTCAGACCTGGATTATTGCAACTGTATCCTCATTGTGCTCCAAGCTTTCCTCCTTACCCTTTCATATACACAGTTCTTAATACACAGTCTGTTCTTTATACACAGTCAGAATGATGCAGATAAATCTGATCAAACCTTCTATTGACTTCCCCAAAAGCTGAAGTTCTCACACTGACCTGTTATAGCTGACCTCACATATCTCTTTCCTCCAGGCTCAATCCATTCCAGGCCCTACCTACCTACTTTCATGGATGGCTGTGTTCTCAGAAGTTCTTCCTCAAGTGTTTCTATGACTTGTTTCTTCGTCTCCTTTAACTTTGCTTCAGTGTTACTATCTCAGGATTTAAATTTACAGTATCCTCCACACTCCCTGTCCCCCTTCAATGCTTTATTTTCTCCATAGCACATATTACCATCCAACATTCTCTATATTTAACTCTTCATATTATTTCTTTCAAAAATTAAAAAACGAAATTTTGTTATTCTTGTTGATGAGATTATTATGACAAAACATATACTACTTCAATGACTTCTGCATCCATAATTCATTGACAATGATGACATTCTTTGAGTTGGGCAACGCTTCTCACCCTCTGAGTTCTTCCTTCCCCATTAACATAAACTCACTGCCTCCTACATTCCCCATCGAATTTTCCAAGTTTGTTGGCATTTGATCACATATGGATAGATTTTAAAAGAACACAATGTTCAAGGCAGACATTCTTTAAGCTAAGCTATTATTTGGTTTTAAGTAGTCTTCAGAAGATATTTTTGGTTCAAATTTTAGAATTTAAAGATTATCTCAGGAGTACAAAATCAATATACAAAAATCCATTGGAATCCTCAATACTAATAAAGACAGCTTTAAAAAGGAAATTAGGAGAACAATATCATTTACAGTAATCACTCAAAAGATGAAATAGTTAGGAATAAATCTAACCAGATAAAAAAAGAAAATGATAAGATACTAATATAATAAACCAAAAGAGACTAATAAAAATGGAACAGTGTACCATGCTCATGGATGTGGCTGTTGTTGTTAGGTGCCATCGAGTTGGTACTGACCCATAGCAACCCTATGTACAACAGAACAAAACACTTTGAGGTCCTGGGCCAACCTCACAATTGTTGCCACACTTAAGCCCATTGATGCTGCAACTTTGCCAATACGTCTTGCTGGGGGTCTTCCTCTTTTTCTCTGACCCTCCACCTTACCAAACATGATATCCTTCTCCAGTGACTGGTCCCTCCTGACAATATGTCCGAAGTAGAGAGACAAAGTTTGGCCATCCTGGCCTCCAAGGAGCACTTTGGCTGCACTTCTTCCAACACAGATCTGTTGGTACTTTTGGCAGCCCATGACACTTTCAATATTCTCCTCCATAACTCAAAAAGCATCAATTATTCTACGATCTTCCTTATTCACTGTTCAAGAATGGTTGTATCATCTGCATATTGCAGATGATACAATGAGCCTTCCTCCAATCCTGATGCCACGTTTTTCTTCAAATAACCCAGTTTCTCAGATTATTTGCTCAGCATACAGGTTGAATAAGTATGGTGAAAAAAATATAACTATATCACACACCTCTCTTAAGTTTAAACCATTCAGTGTTCCCATGTTCTGTTCAAACAACTGCATCTTGGTCAAG